ATTTATTTATTTATTTATTTTATTATGAGAAAAATGTGATGTGATTGTAGTTTGTTCAATGGTTTTTTTTAACATGATTTAATCGTTTTATTTACTACTTTAATGGTTCTTCTTTATAATTATTTTTTTATTATGAAAAAAATATGATTGTAGTTAGATAGCATAAAAATATTAGTGATTTGTATGATTGAAATTATCTCCTTTTTTTTATTTGTATTTGGTCTAGCCAAAAAAAAATTATAATTTGATTTTTTAATATGATTGAAGTTAGATAAATATAAACACTCACAAAGAGAAAAATGTGATTGTAGTTAGTTCAACGGTTATTTTTTTTAAATGTAGATTGGTCAGAAGAATGTCTATACATTTCAGAAGGTTAAAAAAAAAATATATGTAAGTATGACATTTTTACTTTATAACATTTTATAAATACATAATATATGTATTATTCATTAATTATAATACTAAGCCTTTGTTTGGCAATGACTTTTTTAGTTGACTTTTTTGGCCTTTTTGACTTTTTTAGCCTGAGATTTTTTTGTTCATTTGGTATTCTTGATTGGATTTTTGAATTTTTAGCTTTGGAATAGTGAATTTTTTTTTGTCTTTTTGTGATTTTTGGTTTTCTGTGATTTTTTGAATTTTTTTTTTCTCTTTTTGTGATTATTTAGCCAAATATGATGACCAAACACCACCTAACTATCATGTTGACAATGCAGGAATGTTGATGGAATGCTCACAACAATTTAGATTTTAGTTATTTTTTTGTTTTACTTATTCAGTGAATTTCGAACAAATGTAATAAATTCTTATTTTTATTACTTTAATTATGCAATGTCAACATTTTCTTTTAAAATTACATATATTTTATGGTAACAATTTATAAATATGATTGACATAATATAAATAGTTTTTTTTTTTGAAATTTAATCCCGTGCATAACACGTGTAATATGCTATTACTATATAGTAAGCAAAAAAGAAATTTTAACCCCAAACTTTGTGGGAGCTCTAATCTCTCAATCTAAATTTCCTGATTTTTTGATTTGAAAAAAAAAAAAAACATTTATTAACTTCTCTCAACTCCCAAGTTTTACCCTCATAATAACACTGTTATGCTAAGGACCCCAAACAAATTATCAAATTTTCTACCAAATCTCTCACATAGGTGTCGGATCCACACACATTTGATTTGTGTGGACCTCACACCCATATCAGAGGTTTGATAAAAAAATTTAGTAATTTGTTTGAGGTCCATAGCATTTTCCAAAAAAAATCCTTTAAAATCCAACACATATGAATTTCTTGAAAAGTCTCAACACATATAATTATTATCCCTCATAATAACACTTTAATGCATTAAGAACAAGTATAAAAAAAATTCTTGAAAAGTCCAGCACATATAATTATTATCAAAATATTAAATTTTAACATAATATAATAAAAAAAAACCATTTAATTCTTTAAAAAGTCCAACACATATGATTATTATCAAAATATTAAACTTCAATATAATATAAAAAAAGAAAAAAAAACATTTAAAAAAAATATATATTTAAAAATCACAATTCACATATATAGATAATTGTAAACACAATCCGTACATAGCACGGGTGATATGCTAATATATATATACATATATATGAATATAACCTTGCCTAATAGTATGCAAACAATAGCTTAAAAAATACAACCTGTGAACAAACCAAACAAAAGCAACTATGAAATAAATAAAAAAATCTAATATCCATACATCAAATAACTTGCATACTAACTTCTATCCTCAACTTCTATCATATCAAACTGATAACAAACTTAAACATACAAACCAAGAAAAGTATCCAAATCATAAGATTCACTAATCTCTAAAACACAACTTTAAACAAGCTAATAACACCCTCAAACATACAAACCAAGAAAGTGATACATCATCAAGCTATTCAAATCCCTATCATCCATGAAGGGTACAATTTTGGAGACAAAATTGCATTCCCTAGGATAATATTGAGATGTCTAATTATTATTTTTTTTAATTATTTACATATTTTCGAATAAAATCTCAAACTTTCATCCTAACTTGACAGCTTCTCGCTTGGTAATGTAATTGGTAGACTGCAACAGCTTTGAGTTATACTCTGCAAAAATTGGGGACAACAACACTAACTTAATGGAAAATAAGCATCATAGATAATTACGAAACAAGAATAGGAAAAGTGGCGGGTTTGAGTATAAATGTGCCACTATGAAAAGTGGTCCAATTTATAGTTTCCTTCTGAAATTTGATCAGAGTTTTGAACTGAGAAATTGCTTGAAAAGGACTATTTATTCACAGAATTAACAAAATGAAATTACCTCAAAATCCCAGAAAATGCACGTAGACCCATAAAAATGGTTAGACCACACCATATTCCAACAAAACCCTGGCTTTTCCAGAGAAGGAATAAAGACGCAATGCTCACTACAGATACCAGAACCTGATGATACAATAAAATTATTAGTTAAAAAGGAGTTTATATAGACAATATAAAAATAAAAAATGTTTTTGTTCTTTGTCTAGAGGAAACACTAGTATACTTACCATGGAGTATGCAGAATAAATAAAATCTGATGCTCCAAAGTTTACACCATCAAAAACAAAGGCCAATGAATTGATTGGTTGCGTAGCTGCTACAAACTAATGGGAGTATATCATAAATTTCAGTTTAGACTCACGAAATAAGTAAAAATACTGACATATGAAAACAAATATTTTTTTGCTTAATTTTTTTTTAGCAAAAAAAAAAAAAGTCATTTTGCCAATAGATGGAATTACCGGAATGCCTATACTAATGAGGTGAACAACATTTTTGTCCTTTGTAAATATTCCAGATCCAAATTGCAAACGGAGTCCAACAACTACAGTGAGCCTCAGACCCAAATGCCATCTGCAAAATAAAACCTCTCAAACATATTTAGGCTTTGTATAATGAAAATTGAAGAGGGTATCAAAACAATAGCGTTTGTTGAGAGAACGATTTGTACACTAAGAATTGGAAAATGGTTTACCTGCAACACTCAGGCTGCAACAAATTTTGCTTTCTCATAATCCTTCTCAGCAAACGCACAAGCAATGATAGCCTGAAAGAATGAGATAGAGAAAAAAAAATAATTGATTGATCAATTTATGTTACAATTGGAAAAAAACAAAAATAGGAAGTTTCGTTGTTATTTGGTTAGGCTCTCTTTGGTTCTCAGAAATTGGAGAGAGAGACACACACACAAAAAAGAGTTTCTCACATTGTCTTCCCTGATTAAATAGAAGAATTTCTCCCAAATATTTGAAAGGGGAAAAATTAAAAAGAATAGCACGTGGCCATACCTGTCCAGCGATAGCCATACCATCAGAAAGAAGCGACAAGGTCATCCAGACCTGTAAGCAAATCTGAAATGCAGCCATAGGTGTTGCACCGAGTCTTGCAGCCAATGATGTTGCTAAGGCTACACAGAATGTCACAGCTATTACCCTTGCCAATAATAGAAAACCTGTGTACAAGCACAAAAAAATAAAAAAATAAAAAAAATGAAGACGAAGTTAAAAGACAACTAAACTTGAACTTATAGGAATTATTATTCATCAAGTAAAGAATAAGAAACAGAGTCAATAGGGAGGTTGGATCCTTATTATAAACTGACATGTTCATTTTAGAAAAATAAATTTGGATAAGAAGCCATTCGTAAATTTTATGACATTTTCTCACTTATAGTATTCAATAGTTGAGATGATATTTTTGCTCATAAGAAGTATATCACTGCTTAATCTTTTTAATTAGCGATCACATGCAAAAGGTGCCATTTTTGGAGACAATTGGAAAAGTAAGAAAATTGAATTTGTAAACTGAATGCCATAGACAACATAGAAGGCTATGGAGTTCTGAATATTTCATCAATGAACCTTTTGAGACTTGTTCCTTAATATGACGGTGTATTTATTCCATCTAGGCTGTAATTAACAACAAAGAACTTCTGACAGTGGATGCATTAAACTCCTTACCGTTTTTAAAAAACCGATTGAACTGCAAATCTTTGACACTTGGAGGTAAGAGATCAACTTTTGTCATCAATTTACACAAGAGGATCAATGAATTTAAATATCTGCAAAAAAAATTACAAGTATAAATAGTCAGAGAGATCCTTTGGAAGATCAAGACATTAAAATTGGAAAACTACATTTAAATATGCACTATCTGGTGGAAAGTCTTTGACTATAACCTACTGAAAGAATGTGTGCAATGGCTGCACCACTGACTCCCAAATGCTGAGAGAGCAATAATAACCAAAGATCATAATATATTCAATAAGCAAACACACAATCAACACAACAAAAAAATGCCTTATTTGACTTGATTCTCTCCTAACTACTTGTTCACCAAAAATCGATACACAATTCTCTCTACATCTGACGCAAATGCACCTATTCAAATCAAAATCAAGACCAAAATTGCAGCTACATCCAGAGATCTAATCAATAAACAAAAGCATCAAATTTCAACATCGATACAATATATCATTGATTCTGAAATCAATCAACTCACAGTATTGCCGAGAGCAACGACATTGAGGAAAGTGGAAGGTCGGCGCGAGGACGATGAGTTTTCGTTGACATCTTCGTTGGCAAGCAAAGCAGATGCTTGGCATATCGAATCGGCGAGCTGAGCCAATTCGTCGATCGCGTCCATTGACTCGATGAATCAAAGAACTCGATTGAAGAGAGAGAGAGAGAGAGAGAGAGAGAGATGAGATGATCAGATCGAAGGAAGAGGAGGGATCGAGATGTATGTAGAGAGAGAAAGAAACCCTAGGTTGATACAAGATGAAAATGATGATGGAGAGAGATCCACCGATAATATCTGTTCATTCACCTGAACAAGTTCAAAGCTATAATATAAGCACAAACAGCTAGAAATAATAATAGCATTTGTTCTCAGATAATACACACAAAAATAAAGTCCCAAATCAATATACCTGACTGGAAAGAGTAATTCTGAACGCAAATACTCATAATTTGGACTCCACTCGCAGGACATTCATCAAGTCCAAGAAAAATTGAAATGTTCATCAAGCACAAAATTTGTTATCAATACCTATACAGGATTTTTGCACTTCCCTTCCCTCCATCATCAAACCAAAACAAAAACCTGTTCACACTTTCCAAGCATATCGTTGGTCCCATTGTAGTTCTGAAAGAAAGAAAAATTAGTAAGAAACAAATAAAATAGTTAAACATAATTTTAAACAATAAATGGATTGTCAGTGGATAAATGTCCTCCTTAAGCCAGGCTAATAATAAAAGACCCAGTTGCAAAAAGTTTTTGTTTAGACAACATTCAAGTTGGGCAATATGAAGAAGCATATATTTCACAAACCTGAATACCATCAAATATATTCCCCAAGATTCCAGGACACAACTCCACCGACAGAGGCTGTAATGTCAATGGACAAGATAAATGTTAGTGCATTTAATGTTTGATCTATAACTACTCAAAAATTCTAACAATAATATTGTAACAAACATAACAAGATTACCTTGTGTGTTCGTAAAACAGGATCATTGACCGTCAACCCAGCTGTTTCTTTATACACGGAGATGATATATAACAAATTATTGTCAATATTAAGTTGTTTTAGTTCCACCATGTACAAGATGATAACTATAGTTACAAGAAACTTGGTGCAAAGGGAGGAGAGTGACAGTAAGGAAGGAGACTCATTAAATCAAGAAAGATGATGATGTGCATTAAAGACCTACGGGGCTCAATTAAGGCCTAGGTTAAAAAGCTCTTAACAATATTTGTAGAATTTATATACATATATATATAAGCTATCATTAATAAGCATCAAGGGCAACTTGTACACATAAGCCCCTAAAGACACAACAGAGTTTCATAGTTCGATTGTGTAATGAATGTATTGTGTTAATATTATATACACCCTAAGCCTCTAAAATCTTCTAGATGAACTGCTCCTATACTCCTGCCCATTGTAGTCCAATCAAAGTCTATATAGCTTTACACTGTAATGGCTTCTACAAAATCCTTGAAAGGTTATATTCAAACGTGTAAGTGGCATGTGTAAGCTAGAGCAATAAAACAAAAGAGTGGTATCAACAAACCAGAATCACCAGATATTTCATAGACACTAGTTAAACTCATTACAAAATTGACTTACACACATACATGTTACATTTTAATAAAACAGTAAAATAGAAATCTGAGCTCATAAAGCACAAGATAAAAATTAAAATTAAAGATTAAAAAAAAATGCCAATTACAATTCACACAAGGACAGTACAATTCACTCAATCTAACAACAAAGTGAACAGCACCATCAGCTAGTATACCAAATTACATTCATAATGCTACTCAATTCATCGAATCAACAATACTTGAGGCACTACTACCAAAATGATGAGAGAGCAATAATAACCAAAGATCATAAGATATCCAATAAGCAATTACACAATCAACACAACAAAAAAATGCCCGATTTGACTCGGTTCTCTCCTAACTACTTGTTTACCAAAAATCGATACACAATTCTCTCTACATCTAACTCAGATGCACCTATTCAAATCAAAATCAAGACAAAAAATGCAGCTAGATCCAGAGATCTAATCAATAAACAAAAGCATCCATTCACTCTATTTTCCACAATTTTTTTACTAAAAAGTTAAAAAGTCATTTTCAAACTTATTTATGTTTTCAATAATGTTACGCATGCATAGGACTAAGCACAAAACCAAATACATAAATTGCTCATTTGAATGACCGGCCGGATGACCAAGCACTAGACCAGATGACAAGATGATAATCTCGGTCGACAAGATGATAGTCGTGGTCGATGAGAAGACAACCGTGATTGACAAGATGATAGCCGTGGTCAACCACCTTGTCATCCGGCCAACTGTTCGGCCGATCGTTCGGATGAACAGTTTATGTGTTTGGTTCTGTATCTGGTTCCTTGTGTGCGTATCATTACTGTTATTTTTTTTACCTCACATTTTAATCAAAAAGTTACTAAAAAAACTTGTTTTCCAAATGGGCTTTATATAAGCATGACTCTTCTAAAGGTTTAATCCTAAGGAGAGATCATAAGTTCGAAACTTTTCTTTTAGTGGGGGAGAATGTGAAGACCCAAATATAAAAAAATTAAGTAAATAATTAAATAATAATAATAATAATATTACAATCTCAAATATTTTGATGGTGAATTCTAAAGTGCAAATTAAATATTTTGAGGGTCTTTTAATTAGTTTTAAAACCTCAAATAAATTTATGGTAAAAGTCTTTAATTTAGAGGCAAGATTTATTTTAAAAAAAGAGAAAAAGA